TCCCGACAGCCCGGCACCCCTGCTAGGAAGGGATCTCCTCACCAAGGTGCAGGCACACATTCGTTTCCAGCCCAAGGGAATTACTATCACAGATGGGCAAGGGGATCCTATCACAGTTTTCACACTCTCTCTGGCAGACGAGCACCGTTTGTTTGAAAACAGGACAGCCATCGATAAAGGGAAAATAGAAGCTTGGATTAAGGACTTCCCACAGGCATGGGCAGAGACAGGGGGAATAGGGTTAGCCATTAACCAATATCCGATAGTAGTCGAATTGAAGCCCACGGCTGAACCTATCCGCATTAAGCAGTACCCCATAAAACCCGACGCTTTGGAGGGCATAACCCCACATATCGATAAGCTTCTGCAAGCGGGCATCCTGAAACCTTGTAGATCCGCCTGGAACACCCCCTTGCTTCCGGTAAAGAAACCGGAGGGAAAGGACTACCGACCGGTACAAGACCTCCGGAAGGTAAATGAGAGGGTCATGGATATACACCCAACCGTACCCAACCCCTATACTCTGCTTAGCCAACTGCCACCCCATCTAGTGTGGTACACAGTGTTGGACTTAAAGGATGCATTCTTCAGCATCCCTTTGGCTCCTACAAGTCAAACTATTTTTGCCTTCGAGTGGAAAGGGAGCCAGCTCACCTGGACTAGACTACCCCAAGGTTTTAAGAATTCCCCCACCATCTTCAATGAGGCCCTTAACATGGACTTGAGAGACTACAGGACCCAGCACCCCAAGGTGACTCTGTTGCAGTACGTAGACGACCTGCTCCTGGCAGCCGAGACAAAGGAAGAATGCCTAGAGGCAACCAGAGGTCTGCTGCAGGAACTGGGACGTCTAGGATACCTGGCCAGCGCGAAGAAGGCTCAACTCTGCAAAACTGAAGTGACATACTTGGGGTACAAGCTGGAGCGAGGACAACGATGGCTGACGGATGCTATGAAAGAAACCATCCTGCAGACCCCTGTTCCCAAGTCTCCCAGAGAAGTCCGAGAGTTCCTGGGTACAGCCGGATACTGCAGGCTCTGGATTCCGAGGTATGCCGAAATCTCCCAGCCTCTGCACCAAGCTTCTCGTGAAGGAGTACCCTGGGAGTGGGGACCACCACAGCAGAAGGCCTATGAGGGACTGAGAGCTGCCCTGTTGTCTGCACCCGCTCTGGCACTCCCGGATCCTAGTAAGCCATTCCAATTGTTCTTGGATAAAAAGAAGGGGATAGCTAAAGGAGTCCTGGTCCAAAGACTGGGGCCCTGGAAGAGACCTGTGGCCTATCTATCCAAGAGACTTGACCCAGTAGCAGCAGGATGGCCGCCTTGCTTGAGGATCATCGCTGCAACTGCCTTGTTAGTAAAAGATGCTGACAAGCTGACTTTTGGCCAGGCCCTGGCAGTCACAACCCCCCATGCCATCGAAAGGATCCTTAAGCAACCTCCTGGGAAGTGGATGTCTAATGCCAGGCTGACCCATTATCAGGCCCTGCTCTTAGACACCCCCCGGATAACCTTTAAGGAACCGCAAGGTTTAAACCCGGCCACCCTGCTTCCCACTCCAAAATTGGGAAAGCCCCTGCACTCTTGCACTGAGATATTAGCAGAGATAATGCAGGTAAGATCTGACCTGAGAGATGAGGCGTTAGTTGACAACGACTTAGTCTGGTTCACAGATGGAAGTAGTTTCGTGCTCAATGGGGTACGGAAAGCTGGAGCAGCTGTTGTGGACATAGACGGGAAGGTCATATGGAAGGCGGCTCTGCCAGCCGGGACCTCAGCACAGAAGGCCGAGCTTGTGACTCTTTCTGAGGCATTGGAAAAAGCAGAAGGGAAGAGACTGACTGTATATACCGACAGCAGATATGCTTTTGCCACTGTGCACGTTCACGGAGCCATTTATCGGGAACGCGGATTCCAATCAGCTGAAGGGAAGGCACTAAGAAACCTAGAAGAAGTGCAGAGGCTCCTAGCAGCAGTACTACTCCCAAAAGCTGTGGCTGTTGTACACATCCCAGGCCACCAGAAGGCGACTACACCTGAGGCAAAGGGGAACGCCGTGGCCGACCGGGTCGCTCGCAAAGCGGCTCTGGACCCCCCTCATTGCTTAGCGCTCGTCTTGCCAGCTCCAGAAGC